TACTTCCGAAAAATAATATCGGAACTGAAATATTATTATACTGATAAAAAGTTAGGATATTACACCGATCACTCTATAAAATATAATCAAAAACTCACGAGCTTTCAATGAATAAAACTCTAAACTCTCTCAAAGAATAATGGAATGGCTCATCTACTACCAGAGCTCGTGAAACTAATATATATAGAACTATATACGGTATACAGGTTCATCAGAAATCTGGAGTTTCCAAATTTGCTTGATCTTCTCGCTTAACTTTGGAAACTGAATCTCCATGCCCTGTAGATCACGATGCTCGAATATCTTGCCCAAATCTTCTAGATTTATACGCGTCTCTCTCTCTTCAGTCTTGTGAACTTTATTTTCTTGTTTCTGTGCGAACCTTCGGAAATATCTGTTTGCCGATTTCTTTTCTTTTCTTGTTGATTTCTTTCCTTTTCTTGCTCGATTTTCCAACTTTCTTCCACACGATTTCAGCTCCTAAATCTCACAAGAATATCTCCCTTTTATCATCTTTTCTCTTCCTTTTCCTACACGTAAAAGAAGTCAATAAATAACACAACATATAGTAAGAGAATATCAAAATACGGAAAGTGAATATATATAAAATCTCCTAATGAATCTAATATATTTCCTTTACCTACAAGCTAAAGGAAGATAATTAAATCAAAATAACATAAAAATAGAATAATTAAAATTAAGATAGAAATCTTAATTAAAATTAACATAAAAATAGAATAATTAAAATGGAAAGTTATGATAGAAATCTTCCCTTTCTCTTCAAGCATTATTCCATGATACCTATTTCAAGAAACAAATAAATTAATAATATTTTTGATTAATGCCAAATTATATTTTCTTACAGTGGTTATCAACTGTGGTGAGTCCGAGGATGAGTCTTGTGAGGATCTCGAGAGTTGGCTTGAGCATAGGCTAGAAGAGCCGCAAATTGAAGAATATTGGCCAACCTTTAGGCGGGACTGGCCAAGAGGCTGTGGAAAGAGAGCACGCTCACGCAACAAGAGGCACAAGGCTAAACGTGCAAAGAAGAGACGCACGACAAATACACACGAGAAAGAGGATTGGGCCGATGTCGAGTGTGTGTGTCGGGAAAAGTAGGTGAGTGGTGTAAAGCTTGCGCGAGGAAAAGACGTACATGGTGCATGGAGGTTCGAAGGA